GAATATTTTCTGCTTTCTTTTTGATTAAGGTTTTTCTGTTCATTTTGTTGTTTTTTTAGAAATGAACAGTAATAGATATGTGACTGGCAGAGGTGGTGCGGGAAATGGGGAAGAAGGATAAATTAAAAGCAGGCAAAACCAGACAATTTTTATTTAATTAAAAAAATTATTGGGGGGCTTTTACAGCTCTTAACACAATCCATCCACACATATGTCCATTATGTTAAACACTTCTATACATGTTATCATCATCTTTTTCAAACCATCTTTCTACTTGAGCCCCTGGCATCAGCTTTTTTTTCTCCCTCCCTCACCTATGTCCCCTTGATATTTATACATTTTTTTTCATGTCTTACACTGACTGCTGTCTAATTGTACCCTCTTTCCTGCTGTCCGTTCCCCTGGGAAGGGGGCCATACGTTGACCATTGTGATCAGTTCCTCCTTACTCCTGCCCCCCACCCTTCTAGTATGGCAGCTCACCTTATTGGTCCTGAGGGGTTTATTTGGTCTGGATTCCCTGTGTTGTGAGCTCTTATCTGTACCAGTATACATGTTCTGGTCTAACCAGATTTGTAAGATAGAATTGGGGTCATGATAGTGTGTGTGGAGGGGCATTAAAGAACTATAGGAAGGCTGTGTGTTTCGTTGGTGCTATACTGTAGTGACTGGCTCTTCTCTTCCTTGTGGCCCTTCTGACAGGGGTGTCCAATTGACTACTGATAAGCTGTGGGTCTCTACTCTGCCATCCACTTCATTCCCATTGATATGCTTTTTGTTTGTTTGTTTTGTTCTTTGATGCCTGATACCTGATCCTATCGATACCTCATGATCACACGGGCTGGTATGCTTCTTCCATGTGGGCTTTGTTGCTTCTCAGCTAGACAGCCATTTGTTTCTCTTTAAGCCTTTAAAGCCCCAGACACTATGTCTTTTGATAGCCAGGCACCATCAGCTTTCTTCACCACATTTGCTTATTCAACCATTTGTCTTCAGAGATCGTGTCAGGGAAGGTGAATATCACTGAGTGCCGTTTCAGTAGAACAAATTGTTCTTGCAATGAGGGAGTATTTGAGTGGAGGCCCAACGCAGAGACAATTTTTAAATGAAGATAGTAAAAGTATCTTTCATATAAATGTCTTGATTTTATACATTTATCCTTAAACTCTGCTGAGCTTCTTTCTTTAGTTTTGTTGTTTTTTTTATACAGCAAACACACCATCTGACAATAAGTAGAGTTTCCATTGTCCAGTTTTTATTCATCCTGTTTATTTATTGGCGTGGCGAGGATTTCCAGGAAAATAGAGGGCACCTTTGTGTTATTACTAAGGACAAAAGCAATTAAATATGCTGCTATTTTCAACATATGGAATCAGTATTTCATTGATTTCAATTTTACACAGCACTTATATAAGTCATACAATCAAGAATTATAACTCTACAACTTTCTGAATTCATCACAGAATATAATAATAGAATAACAGTATATAATAATAGGCTTGTCTAATTTTAAATAATCTAGTTAAGTTACTACTTTGGCCAAATATTATATACAAAAATTACATTCAATATTCTAACTTAAGCTATTCCTAAAATACTATATCCTTGTTATTAAAATACAAAAACCAGGAAAACAAAACAAAAAAAATACAAGAGAGCTAAGATTCAATTCCTAAAGCATTAACCGAAACTGGTTTTCATCTTGGTGCTCCAATTAAATCACTGTCTCTTGATAAGATCTCTAAGTTACTGATAGCTCAAAAATGTTTAGAACAGCCATTCAGAATTGCCTTCTTTCATAAATATTAATAAACATGTATGATAAATGTGGTATCCTACTACAGATTAATCTTTTGGATTGCACATTTTTCTCTTAGAGAAAGTACAAACATAATTGCCAAAAAAATGAAATAATGCAATTTAAAAGTCTTAGATAAGAAAACAACAACCTTGAGTTGTGGGTAAATATTACATAAAGGGCTTACTCACACGATAAGAAGATTTTAAAAACAATCACACTTTACATAAAAATCTCTGTAACAAATAGACTGTGATATTTTCCTTAAAGTACAAACCACTCATACTACTTCTGCTAATATTCTTCATAGCACTTATGGTGAGCTTTAATTATGAAAGCTATGAGGTACTTAAGAGAAATGAGGATTTGAAATATCTAGTGCTAAAAATTCTTAAGGTATACAGGTTTTTGTGAATCTCTGAGAGTCCTAATAAATATGTTCGTATAGCCATTATAAATAAATACTTTATATTCTTATTCTGAGGTCTCTAAAAAAATCTCTCATATCACTGACTCCAAGTTGATGATCATACTGAAATTCTCATCATTTTCTAAAAGGTTTAAAGAAGTAACTTGGTATATATTCTGAATTCATATGAAAGGAAGTATCTTTTGGAGAGGGATTATTGCACTTTCATTTTACTAAATACTAACACTTATGATGAGGAAGACCAACTTGTGGGCTATAAAAGAGCCAGTTCCAATGAACAAGTGAATGATTAAAAGGTTCACTGTTCATTGAAAAAATAGATCCAGGGTGCTTCTTGAATTGTTTGGTTTTATTTTCTTTGACCTTGAGTACTTGGTTATCTGTCCTGTCCTGGAATGAAAAAAGAACATGCAATGAAAATGCAAGAAGAGACTTGAAATATAATTTTGCAAATCACCAATTTTAAAAATGTTACTGGTTAGTTTATAAAAACACAATTTTACATCTCTTAACAATTAGATCTCAAATGTATACTGGGACAGATAAGAGCAGAAAACACAGGGCATCCAGGACAGATAAGCCCCTCAGGACCAATAATGAGAGTAGTGATACTAGGAGGGTATGGGTAAGGGTTGGGGAGGGGAAACTGATGACATATAACCCTCTCCCTGGGGGATGGACAACAGAAAAGTGGGTGAAGGGAGACATCGGTCAGTGTAAGACATGAAAAAAAAATTTATAAATTATCAAGGGTTCATGAAGGAGGGAGGGGAAAAATGAGGATCTGATACCAAGGGTTCAAGTAGAAAGCAAATATTTTGAGAATGATGATAGCAGCAAATGTCCAAATGTGCTTGACACAATGTATGTATGGATGGATTGTGATAAGAGTTATATGAGCCCCCAATAAAAATATTAAAACGATATATATTTGCATGATTTTCATTTTAATAAAGCAAAATTTTAAAAATGAATGAAAACTTCTAAAAAAATTAGACCTCAAATATGAGCTTTGCTAAAACTTAAATAAAACTAAACCCGTTGCCATTGTACCTTTTGGCTCGTGTCGTAGTCTTCTGTGCTTTGTCTGAGTTACCTATAAAAGGAAGAGAAGACATGAAAGTTCATTATAAGCAACATGAAACAAATAAAACTGTATAACATTTTTTAAAAAGTTTAAGTGGATTAGTAACTCCTTAGTGAAGCAACAACTTAAAAAGGCTTTCTGGCTATCTAACACAGCTAATTTACCACTGTGGCAAATGTTCAGAAAACTTTCTTCTCTGAATCTATCACTCAGCTCCTAAGCCTCTGAGTTTAAAGTAAGCTCCCAAATTCAAAATCTAGTGGCTTCAGTTAATCCTAACCTGTAGCAAGGCTCTGACATTGTCTTTAATAGTAACATACATGACCCATCCCATTGATGATTTGTGTTTCAGATTTAATAACTGTCTCATGAATTATAATAGTACATATTCCTAGAATATCAAGTTCTTTAAAGTGACGGACAACTCACCAGTACTGGTTGAGCTTTCTTTGGGCTGGTTAACTGTGTCCTTCCTCATTTCCTGGATAATACCTTTATTTAAGCACACATCCACATGAGTATTGAAAAGGGAAAGATCTGAAGTCTTTTGCTCTAAATTACACACAGGACACACCAGAGCTTGGCCTGTTATCATTTCATGTGAAGAAGGCTGGAGGGATGACCCGCCATCTTCCCTTTCCAATGAAACAGAAGAATTCTGATGACAGTGTTGACTATCGAAAGACGCGCTTGGAAGGCGACAGCACCCCTCTCTGCTGCGTGGACTTTGTAAAGCACCTTGACTTTCTACTTTAGATGTGTTATCTATGGTCTCTACCAAATCCTCACTGTCTACTGAAGTGATTTCTGTATGTTTCTGAGGGGTCTCAGAATCCTGCTTCTCACAGAGTGAGAGAGAATGATGCCCATTTTCCTCCTTGTAAACGTCTCTTGAGGAAGCATGAGCTTCACTGACTGAAGGCCCACCAAGACAAGCATCTACATGCCTGTTAAAGGCTTCTAGACTGACACTTTCTTGCTCCCTAAAGCAAACAGGGCAGGTAAATATCTGACAGTTATCTGATTTCCCTGATGTTCCCATGTTCTCATGCATCATCTTCTTTAAAACTTGGAATGGTGGTGATATGTGTAAATCATGCTTCTTCACTGTTTCACATGTAAAACTGTCTTCATGGCTCCATTTCATTTCTGATCTTTTTTTATCGAAGAAACTCTTCTTCTGGGACATTTCCAGAGGTTTTTTACACTGATCTTGGTCTGTGGTCTCCAGTGTACACCCAGTGGCGGCCAGGGCTTGCTTTTTGGTCTGTAAGAAGCCAATGATGCTCTTTTGTTGGTGTTTCTTGTCTTCTTCACTGGGAAAACTAGATATCCGCACACCTGAATCAAACCAATAAGCAACCAAATTCAATAAAATGAATTAGCTCACAGTATAAACAAATATTTATATAATACTGTTGTGACATATACACAAAAGTTTAGTTAGAGAGAAATAATAAGCCATATCAGATATTTTCAAAATTAAGGGATGATTTTCAAAGCTGGTATTTTGAGTGGGAATTCACTTTTACTTATAAAGCTGGGTATCATTAAATAGCAAGTATCAGCTGGAGCTGGCATGATTATATAGGTCTTTTCTTTAATATATAAAATGGTACACAGTATCATTAAGTACTAAGCAACTACAACTATTGGAGTCCACCACACAGACTGGAGGTCTTTTAACTACAGTGGCTTTGTTCAATCTATTTCAACCTGTGCTACCTTTTACATATAACAGGAAAGCTAGGAAAGTGGACATTTGGAGTGCTTACACATAGGCATTCTTACATCCAGTTCACACTGGAAAGATGTCTTTTTTTTTTCTTTTGACTACATGGTGACTGGAAATGTGGTTATAAAAGTACCATAATTTCTTGTATTTCTGAAATCCAACAAACTCTGAACAGTGTAAGCAACAGATAACAGTAGTGAGGAAACTGATGGGGGCTATTTGTAGTATTTCCCCTCAGTATGCAGATTTTTTAAAATATTACTGCCTTTGGTCATGGGGTACTGCCCAGTGCCCAAAGTTATATTTAAAAAGATACTCAAATACACACTGAATTTGCTTTCTAAAACCTGAAAAGTTTTGAATTCTTGAACATCCTTGGTTTCAAGAACTTAAGAAAAGGACCTGTGGACAAGTAGCAATAAAATGAGCCACTTTAAACTGTTTCTTACACTTTCTAAACTGTTTCTCAATGATCACGGTTTAATGACCATGAATCACATGAAACAAGTCTTAAAAACCACAACAATGACAGCAGTATAGTAACAACTTCCTACACATGTTGAAGAAACAAAATATGAGTGATTTTAAAACTGATGACTGGGGAAATTTTAACAGACTTAAAGAAAAAGGAGAAAAGACAAGCTATACCCATAAGTCTTAATCTCAAGGGATGTGGAAAATCAGCCTCAATTTCTGTTCTCAGCAATTCCTTTGCAATGGCAAATATTTCTTGTGCAGTAGAAACAACAGACGAGACTGTAGATGCACGTGTTTTGACTTCAAAGTTCACATTCTTCAGCTTAATGGTAACAGTTCTACCCTATAACAAACAGAACGTCAATGATACATAGCTTCTGAACTTCTGGCAAAAAGTTGTTGTTATAGCTTAAAAAAATTCAAACGGTATCTGAAGTACATATAAAACTATGGACACAGATAGTCAACTACTTATAAAACATGATAATAAGAATTATAAAGAATAATTAAAATCCACAAGTAATCTAATGGTGCTATTTTAACAATCATTACCCCTTCCACATTCAAATCTTTGTTTACAATCTCTATTTTAAAAAGCCCAACTCATTGCCATCAAGTTAATGCCAACTTAGAAGGACCCTTTAGGGCAGGTTAGAGCTGTCCCTGTGAGCTTCTGAGACTAACTCCTTATGCAGTGGTTCTCAACCTGGGGGTTGAATGACCCTTTCACAGGGCTCCCCTGATTCATAACATAGCAAAATTACAGCTGTGAATTAGCAACACAAATAATGTTGTGGTTGGGGGTCACTTCAACCTGAGGAACTGCATGAAAGGGTCGCGGCTTTAGGAACGGTGGGAACCTCTGCGTGTAGATGGCCGGTCTTTCTCCCTTGGAGCAGCGGGTGGTTTCAAACGGATGACCTTGTGGTTAGCAGCCTGATGCTAAACTACTTCGTCCGCAGGGCTCCTTCTTTATATAAAGAGTATGGTTTATTTAGCCCCTCCGCCCTCAACATTTTTTTTACTGATTTTCTTTTCAAGGAAAACAAATACCTTCAAAAGGAAGGGAAAATGTTTCTAAAGGTTCTTGGATTGCACCTACTTATTGTGTATATAGTTGCTCTTGTTGGCTGTCATCTGAATTGCTGTTTGAAACCACCAGCAGCTCTCTGGGAGAAAGGTGGGGATTTTAACTCCCACAAACAGTCTCAGAAACTCACAGGGGCATGCTACCCTGTCCTATATGGTTGTTATGAGCCGACCAACTAGATGGAAGTGAGATTGAGTGCCTAGCAATGAGTTGTTTCAGACTGTGTGTCTACTGTAAGCTTGATACTATGCTACACAATTTGCATGTAGGACACCTTTTATACTCAAGCTGTGATAGATAAGTATGAGAAAAACACTCCTTTGGTACCTCTTTTTTATGTTTTAATACTTTGAAATTACATTTCATAATAATTTCACCTCTGGCTTAGGAATATTAGGAAAATGTTAAACACAGATTATTGCAAGTGAAGACTGTAAAACAGACAGTTTAAAGTCTCCTATGTTTGTATTTTCAGTAACAAAACCACCTGGGTTAGAGCTTTGAAATGAAATAATCTAGTTTAGAAAGTCATTGTCTAAATGAAGAGAACATTAAAGGATGATTAAACCCACTGCCATCCAGTCAATCCTGGCTCACAGAGACCACAGACAGAGTTTCTGAGGTTAAATATTCATGGGAGCAAAGAGCCTCATCTTTCTCCCACAGAGTGGCTGGTGAGTTTGAACTGTCTACCTTGCAGTTAGCAGCCTAGTTTCTAACCCAGAGTCACCAGGCCTTTATAATATGCAAATACAGAACCAATTAATCGGTAACTGTTGAGGTGATTCTGACTCATAGTGACGCCATATATGAATGGATCACTGGGCTCCAGAGGGTTTGCAGTATTGATATTTTGGAAAGTAGATGACTGAAATGCTGCTTCTGAGGCATTTCTGAGTGGACTTGAACTTCCAACCTTTTGGCTCACAGCCAAGCATGCTAATCATTTAAATGTACCACTTGAGGAAGGGAAATCCTTCTATGGTCCTTTATGCTAATGTAACTCTGGTTTTGAACCACTTCAGATCTACTCCCAAGGTGGCATAAACTCCTGGGGAATTACCTGGGAATCAGTTGAGCCTCATAAGTTGCTTCCCTATAAAATGACCGTGCTAGGGCTAAGCTATGAAGCCCATTAGAATTTGTCTCTGATTGCTGACAATAAAAACACTCTTTTCTGAAAAATTTCAATTTGTATTCATCTTAAGACATGAGGAATCTTAACTTCTGCTTTAAAGTAGCACCTCATTGCTATATTTTTAAACAGCATATCAAAACATAATACCTTAAGTCCTTCTTTGTGAAGATCTTGAGCAAGTTCACTGCAAAGCTCTTGGCACAGGCTGTACTGTTCTTCTGCTTTACTTATCTCACTGAACGTCCTAGGACCACAGAGAGTAATTTGGGTCTACAAAGAAAACTGCCATTCAGGAGTACTTAGGTATGTTGCCTAAATAGCCTGGAGTTATTATATTCTCTGTAGCACATAATACATTTTCAGATGCGTCAATATATCATCATATTAAATAAACACAACTAAGATTGATCTGATTAATAGAATCATCACTTGTCTGTCAGTTTCACACACTGTGGTGGCTTGAGGGTTGCTGTGATGCTAGAAGCTAAGGCACTGGTGTTTCAAATGTCAGCAGGTAAGTTGAGTAGCAAAGAATGTACACCCTGATTTCCCTACAATATTATTTAAAAAGATGAATCAAATCACAAATGGGCCGTGACAGTGTCCTAGAACTTGCAACACATTGTATATATGTTCACATATTTTCTACAGATTATTCTAACAAAATACAGAAATAGAACTTTTTGAACATGCTCAACTGTTTATTGCATATGTACTTTTTGGAAGGGAAGTATTTCCAAGTAGATTTAAGGTGCTGGTTCAGGGGACTTATGTAGAGTTGTCTAATAATAGAGGATGTTATGATTAGAGGTATAAATCCCGAATTTATCTGCAAGAGTGTTGAAAGAGCTGAGAGAACAAGGAAACATAAACTAGGAGGACAATGAAGAGAGATCAGAGTGCCAAATACAAGACAAAAGGCCCTGAGCAAATGAGTACAGAAAGAAAGGTCCCCTCTACTGCAACACCTAGTCATCCAGTTCTCCAACCACTGGCAACCAATGTTGATGATGCAGTGGGCTATGGCCAGGCTGCTAATTCCATGGTCAGTGGTTCAAATCCACCAGCTGTTCCATGGGAGAATGATGAGGATGTCTGCTTTAGTAAAGATTTAATCTTGGAAACCCTAAAGAGCAGCTCTACTCTGTCCTATAGAGTTGGTATGAATTGGAATCAACTAAATAGTGGATAATATAAAATATAAGCAAACAAACATTTTTCTCTACTTTAAAAAAATATGAACAGTAGAATACTAGGCATACTGTTCAGCCTCTTTTTTATGATTCATTATCTCTATGAGTAAATAATTTAATTTTTATGTGGTAGCATAATATTTCAATTTGAAAATGTAACAAAATGCAGCCAGTCCACTATTCATAAACATTGTTATCTTCAATCTTTTGCTACGATTAATAAAAAAACCTCTGCAACCTAGTAATTTTGATTACATCAACATGTAACTTTACCCATTGGATGAATTCCTACAAATTTTATCTGTGGTATGAATTTACTTGTGGGGCCATGTGGTAGTTACATAACCTGTTGTTAATTTGAGACTTACAAGTGAAGGGGTGGAGTTTAGCCTGTCAATCAGGGCTCAGCTTGATGACCTCCTTTGGAGGCGCTAAGGAGATAAATAGCTTGCTGGAGGTGGGGCACACGCTCACTTCCTGAGAGACTCTGTACTGACAAGACACATGAAGCTATGCTGATGGCAGCCAAAGCCCTGGAGTTGGAGGAGCCACATTGAGATGTTTACATCCTAACTGGATCCACAAAAGTTTCCACCCACTGGTCTGTGATCTTCCTGCATTCGGCATCATTGTATTTGCGTCTGAAGAGGAATTTATAGACTGGCACCAGACATATGGTCTAACATTGGACTTATGGACTTGATCTGGACCGGACTGGCATGTTTTCTCAATATTCAATTGCTCTTATATATAAAGCTCTCTCTTATACACATCAGAATCTCCGGATTTGCTTTTCTAGTCGACCCAGACTAACACAGGCGAATTCCTAGAAAAACAATTGTGGAATCAAAGTGTACCTCTGATTTTGACTGTTGTTATTCTTAGGTACAACCCAGTCAGTTCAACTCATAATGGTCTTGTGTCAACAGGATGAAACAAGGATCAGTCCTGTGCCATCCTCACAATCGCTGTATGTTTGAGCTCATTGTTGTTTGTAGCCACTCTGCCAATCTAAGCAGCAGATTTTCTCAAAGCAATATGGTGTTTGGCTTCTTGACTTCTGTAAGTATTGATTATGGATCCAAGCAAAATTATATCCTTGGCAATATCAATATTTTCTTCATGATTTATGTTCTTTATTGGTCTATTTCTAAGGTTTTTTTTGTTAGATACCTGATTGCTGTGATTACTGTTAGGTATTGTTTAGTTGGTTCTGATTCATAGCAACCTTGTGTACAACAGGATGAAACATTGCCTAGTCCTGCACCATCCTCACAATTATTACTATGTTTGAGCCTATTGTTTGTGTGTATTTTCTAAATAAGAGTTTACTGGCATGCAATTCACAAATTGTACAATTCAATAGTTCAATCATATTAAAAAGAGTTGTACAATTATCACCACAATCTATTTGTGGCTAGTCTGGGTAGACTAGAGAAACAAATTCATAGACACTCATATGTATAAGAAAGAGCTTTATATACAAGAGCAATAGAATATTGAGAAAACAGCCTAGTCCAGATCAAGTCCATAAGTACAATATTAGGCCATACGTCCGATATCAATCTATAAATTCCTCTTCCGAC